CATGAGCCCTTGATAGTTTATAAATGGGTATTTTGTCATATCTTGCCCTGTCCGACGTCTCCCTTCATCCACTTTTTGGTTGTCTGTCAGTTTTTATTTCTTAAGGGTATATACCCAGCAGAAGTATTGCTGGGTCACATAACATGCCTATTCCCAGGTATTTCAGGTAACACGATAAACTTTCCATTTATGGTTGTATATATTTACAGGCTCACCAGCAGTGCATGAGGATTTCAATCTCTCTACACCCTCTCCAGCATTTTTTGTTTTCTTTTTTGGTTTGTTTTTTGTTTTTCATTGGACTGACCTTGTCTGTGTAAGATGATAGCTCATCATTGCTTTTGATTTTCATCTGCCGGATAGCTAATGAGAGTGAGTATTTTTCAAATGTGTGTTAGGATTAGGATGTCAGTTTGGGTGAACTGTCTGTTCATGTCCTTTGCCCATTTTTTACATTGCTATTCATTGCTCTTCTTGTCGAGGTCTGTATATCTTAGAGTTTAGCACCTTGTCCATTGTGTCATAACCTAAGACTTTTCTCCCAGTCCCTGGTTCTCCTTTTACTCTTTCAATGCCATTTACCCTTATGCACGCCCCAGCTAATGTAGTGCCTGTCCTCAATCATGTACTTTCTGCATATTGGATTTCAAACACTAGTGTGATTTCCTAAGGAGCCCTGGTGGTGTAGCGGTTATGCAGGGGGCTGTAATCTTCCCTGGTGGTGTAGTGGTTAGGCATTGGGATGTGATCCGCATGGTCTCATGGTTGCAGTTCAAAACCTACAGCTCTGCAGGAGAAAGACTGCACTTTCTATTCCTGTATACAGTCTCAGAAAGCCCCGGGGGTGGGTTGCTATGTGTCAACATTGACTCAATGACAGTGAGAGAGAGAGAGAGAGAGAGAGAGAGAGAGAGAGAGAGAGAATGTGATTTCATATCTTCTCTGTATAAAATCAAGCTGTATGTTCTTAGTGTCAGAATATTCAAGGTTAACAAAATAAATCTAGAGAAAGCTAGAGAGTGGCTTATAACTCTGTTATAATATACTTTGGAATTGGGTAGCTTCTTAACATAGTCTACTAAATTTACTTACATTTATTGTTTCATAGTTAGGTTTTTAACTGATTTTTAAACTAAGTTATTGTGTTAACCATTAGTACGCCAGTTACCTTGAATTTGGTGTGTAGTAGACCACATTTCTCAATACCGTGTTATCTGACATTTCATATTTAGACTAATCAATACACTTTTAGCAATCATATAAATTCATTTTATGGATCAAGTATAAATTTATTAAGCTCAATATGGCCATTGAACTGATAAGGTAAGACCATATTGTTTTAACATGGAAAGAAGACTAAAATGTATTTTTCTACAGTTATGAAACAATCTATTTTCAAAATCTCATTTTTTTTAAGATAAGAGAGACACAATACTCCAAAGAGGTAAAACTGTTTTTTCCTCTGACAAGTGAAGTTACTTTGCCTTTTTATTGTTGTTCTATCATAGTGGCCCTGGTGGCATAGTAGGTTACACATTGGGCTGCTAGGCATAAATAAGGTCAGCAGTTCAAAAGTCCCAGCCACTTGTGGGGAAAAATATGCTTCAAAATTCCTAAAAAACAATTCTTTCCTGGCATAAACCAGGAGTCAGAATCAACTCAATGGCTATGAGTTTCATTTTGAATTTTATATTTTTATCTTTTTAAGGGGGTTTCTTATTTTAGAAAAATACATTTCAAATACTATGCTGCTGTAAACTAAAATAGCAATGCACATACATTTTAGATTTTCTGAAATTTTATACTAAATAACTTGGAAAACATCTTTATATTTGGATAAGGTTCATTGAATATTTTTACTTTGTGATATAAATTTTACCTCTTGTTATCATCAAAATGAAAGGAAAGATGTTAAAAAAGAAGAATGATCTATGCTATAGAGAAACATTTAGAGATATACTATGTTTTCTTAGTATATCTTTGTTTGAGCTTTGAGCTTTCTTAGTATATCTATGTTTGAGCTTTGATCAATGATCTTTCTGAGCTTATTAAAACTCCGTTATCTTGCAGGTGGAATTACAGTCAGAAGCGTGGAAAGGCATCATGTGCAATATCTGGACAGCAGAAGTATGGTTGTTTGTAAGTAGCCCCCCTATATATTTTTAAGAAAATTATTCATTTTTTGAGATTCCTGGTAGATTTATTTAAAACACTATACTTGCTTAGGAAAGCAGTAATCTGGTGTTAGATTTGAGGAGTTTAAAATTTGAAGGAAAGTAAATTCAAGATCTATTTTGAGGTAACATTTAACTATCACTCTCTAGGAAAAGAAGTACTATTGTATTTCCTTTTGGTCTCTATGTTGTGACGTAGAGTTCACTAAAATGTCACAAAAATATCCTGATATAAAACAACTCAGATAAATGGATTTTTCACAGCTCTAAATTACCTGAGAAGTGTGTCAAGTACTTTCAACTTGGTGAAAAACAGCAAAAGATTATAATCACTCCACGACTTTCAACTGGGTGAAAACATCAAAAGAGTGTAATCACTCCACTACTAGTTCTTGGCTTAAAAGTCATTTAGACTATTAAGGTAGCAGATGGACATTGGGCCTCCCCTCAAGTACACCCTCAATGCAA